CACAGAATCCGTGCATTCATTGCTGTTATCGGAGACTAAATTGTTGAGAATTTTATTCTTATCCATAGCCCGTCCCTCCCTATTGTTTATCCACTCCTGTAATCAATGTAATGATTAATGATTATGAAATTTTTTAGATAATTTAAAAAATAAATACCTTTTTCATTCCCATTGCAAAGCATTTATTTAGTCGACATTTGGAGCAAAACTTTCTCGATATGACATCTATTATGCAATTATCCTCGAAATGACATTTAAGCTGTTTATCAGCAAAAAAGACAATGATTTATTAATTATGATTTAGTTTTTAAATAAATTTTGTATTATTTACATTAGTTTTCCACGCATTTCGTCGGAAAAATGATTTACAAGATTCACAAGAAAGGGCGCCAAAGTTTTTGCCTAAATATTAAAATTTCAAATTATAGACAAATTTAATAGAAATATTTTGATAACGAATATTTCAACCGTATTGAGCATTTAAATAATAGTTGATCGTGAGATAAGTATTTATTTTGATACCTCCTGTTAATTTAAAATCTTAATTAACCGTGAATTTTCTATTTTAATAATTTTATTAAATAAATATTAGGTTTTATTCAATGATATGTTTTAATGATTGATTGATAATAGGCTATCAGTTATGTTTGCATAATGATAGCGAAATATTCTTTATTGAAAACACCAATAATAACACAAATAATGATATTTTATGCGAAATACTCGATGACATCAATTTCAGTGCCGATGCTCTCAACCAACAGATTATGGAAATAGAGAGCACTGTTTCCAAAGATTTCATTGATAACATTGTAGACAATAGTTTTGATGACACGATGAATGACCAGCAAATTGGTGTATATAATAATTGCGATGAAATTAATTCACAAACGGGTTATAATGTGTCAAACGAGACGATCGAAAAGGCCGTAGAGTTTGCCGTTTCAGTGATACCTATCGCGAGACCTCTAAGTGAATGCAAAACTGGTTTCAATGAAACGGAAATGTATTTACTGAATGATTTGATGAAATACACTCAGTTTCTGGGCGCCCCGATGAGCACTAACATAAAATTCTTGGACACTATGTATGATATTCATCAGTCATTTGCCACCAAATATGACACAGCCATCAGAGTTCAGACCAAAGCTGTCAAAAGGTTGTCCGCATTCAGAACTATTTGCTGTGATGACCAGATCTCACTACTGAAGTACGGGTGCTTTGATATCATATTCTTGAAGTCTATCATGTATTTTGATTACACGAATAATACTCTCAAAGTTCCCATGGTATGTGACATTAATTTACATTTAACTGTATTATATTTAAGCTAGGTCTAACTTATTGTTCATAGGATACGGAACACTCGATTGTATTAAAAGTTGATAACTTGAAAAATATTGACTATTATTATAAGCCGTACATTAACTTTGTGCGAAAAATGGCTGCCATTTGGGACAATGATATAACTATACTTGATTTGGTATGAATTAATTTTCTAAATATTATATGTATTTGTAAAACTTCTAATTAATAATTAATAACTTATAATTAATTTAATCAATTTCATAGATGTCATTAATAACTTTGTTCAATCCCGATCGTCCAAACCTTGCTAATAGAAACGTTATCAAGTAAATAATTATATATTTGGATTTTTATTTTTTATCGATTTTAACTTTTGAGATTTACATTTTCTAGTTATATATGTATTATTAATTGACTTTATGTTTATTTGTCACACAATAGACTCCAACAACACATTTATATGCATTTATTTCAACGATATTTACAACTGAAGTATCGATCGGAATGTGAGGCAATGTCGCGATTCTTGAGACTAATGAATATAATAATGGATTTAAATGTATTAAGAGAGGCTAATAGGAAGCTTATAATGGAAGAAACGCCAAAGACATTGCTTCCACCACTACTTGAGGAGGTCTTTGATATGACACCTGTATATCAGTCGTAGTATTCACGAGTTTATAGTATTGAATGAAAGTTTTATTATTGAAATATGTTTTACTCAATGTTAATGTTATATCATCTTTAAACAATATTTTGTTTGTATACAGTACAAAATTAATATTACATAATATACTTTCGATATTTTAATAAAAAATAAGCATTATATTAAAATTAATTGTTTGTAAAGTTTGCTATACACTATACAGTAGTTTATATGAATATTATATAAATATTATATAAATATTTTAAGATTGCTCGCATTATGTATTTTGGGTTTTGTATAATTTGTTATCTGGTTAAAAACAAAGGGATATATTTTTAGAAAATAATATACTTTAATTATCTCTGAGATTCTCGATCTGAAACCTATCATAATGAAAGTGATAGTTATTGCAAGTATTAATAACATTTAATATCTAAATCTTATATAGAAATTGTATATATTATTTATATTATATGTTTCAATTAAAGTCTTGAAGTTCAAATATTTTAATTATGTCAAAACAATTTTTAAAAAGTTATCTGTGTTATTTATCATTTATGAGTTGCATTCATGCACCTGTTATTCATGTATTGTATAAGTATAATATAAAAGTATTCACGAATTATTATAAAATATATAAAATTTATATTATAAATCAATACTTTACTTTATGGAAAATTTTCAATAATTTAAAATTAATCATTAGTTTTACAATATGAATACACGTCCGAAACATTAATGACATAATTCAATAAATACTAATAAAATAATTATCTAGTATAATTACAGTACTGAAAATACATTGAATACAACGATAAGCCTTGAAAAGTCGAGTGCTTTCTATTTTTGGGATAAACCAGGTTTTGGGTGAAAGCTATTACAGTATAGGGTTTGCATTGAATACGCAAACTCTGGTTTTCAATGATAAAGCGCTGAAGACTTTTGTACGAGGTATCCATACCTATGGACTATTTGCACTCATGTAATCATTATTTCAATGAAATCCACAAAAAAACAATTATTTTTAATAGAAAAGTAACCAAACTTGCCACAAATATTTCATTAAATATTAATACTTTAATATCTGATATGTTCTAAGTGTAAAATAACATATATGTTGCAACAAGCTATTTTTGGTTTTATTACAGAAGTAAATATTATTCTTAACTTTTTATATATTTTCCTATGAATTAATAAAAAAAAGTTGACTTAATGTTAAATTTATGTATTGATGAGTTATTTTCGTGATATTATTATTGTCAACAACATTACCTACAGTATATGATCACATAAATCATATACAAGAATCGGATCACAATTATAACGCAAGACTTGTTTTCTATTATTTTCTAAAAGAGAAAAAATCAATTTTAAAGTCTTAATATACTAAGCAATATGACTGAAAACCAGAAATCGCCTAAATTATGTCTCGTTTGTGGCCATATGGCTATGGGTATGTTGCAAACTATTTAAAAAATTAAAGATTTTATTTTTAATTCTCAAATTATTTGAATACTTTGACAACAAAATCAATAAAGAATATTTCGCTATCATTATGCAAACATAACTGATAGCCTATTATCAATCAATCATTAAAACATATCATTGAATAAAACCTAATATTTATTTAATAAAATTATTAAAATAGAAAATTCACGGTTAATTAAGATTTTAAATTAACAGGAGGTATCAAAATAAATACTTATCTCACGATCAACTATTATTTAAATGTCCAATATGGTTGAAATATTCTTTATGAAAATATTTCTATTAAATTTGTCTATAATTTGCAATTTTAATATTAAGGCAAAAACTTTGGCGCCCTTTCCTGTGAATCTTGTAAATCATTTTTCCGACGAAATGCGTGGAAAACTAATGTAAATAATACAAAATTTATTTAAAAACTAAATCATAATTAATAAATCATTGTCTTTTCTGCTGATAAACAGCTTAAATGTCATTTCGAAGATAATTGCATAATAGATGTCATATCGAGAAAGTTTTGCTCCCAGTGTCGACTAAATAAATGTTTTGTAATGGGAATGAAAAAGGTATTTATTTTTTAAAATTATCTAAAAAATCTCATAATCATTAATCATTACATTGATTACAGGAGTGGATAAACAATAGGGAGGGACGGGCTATGGATAAGAATAAAATTCTCAACAATTTAGTCTCCGATAACAGCAATGAATGCACGGATTCTGTGTCAACGAAAAAGTCAAAACTAAACGAAATCTTAGTTAACAATAATAGTGACAAAGATTTTGTCGATGAGATACTCGACAGGAACAGCTTTAGCCCAGAGATACTAAACCAACAAATTATGGAAATTGAAAACAATATAACAAACGACATAATGACAGATAACGACATGAATAATGAAGCAACAAAAAACGCTTTTAATTATTTTAGTTACGATACACCAGACACATGTCTTAGCGATAGCGATAATAGCGACAAAAACAGTGTAATTACTACTGAGACAAATGCTGTCAGAGATGCCATCATTCAAAAGACTGTTGAGTTTGAATTGGCTGTCATTCCCATCGCCCGGCCTATGGCTGAAAACAAAACCAATTTTAACGAAACAGAAACCCATATATTGATTGAATTAATGACTTCGACAAAAGCCATGGGATTACCGCTCACTAAAAATACATTAGAGGTGTCAACCATTCACGACTACTATCGCACATTTGTGGTTAAGTTTGAAAAAGGCATCCGTAATGTGACAAAAGCCGTGAAAGGGTTGACACCATTCAAAAATATATGCGAGTCCGACCAGATATCCCTGCTAAAATACGGCTGCATTGAAGTCCTAATCATGAGATCCATTCTCTACTTTAATTACCCCGAAGAGTGCTTTTCAATTCCTATGGTTTGTCTATTTTAAAATCTTATTAATTGTTTACTTAATTAGTTATAAAGTTACTTTAATTAATAGGATAGAGAAATTACATTGATGTTGAATTTGAAATTTCTCCGAGAAGTCCATAACGACTATTACGGCGGTTATAAGGATTACACACAAAAAATGTTACAAGTTTGGGAGTCGGACCCGGTTATTATTGATCTGGTATTTATTAATTTATATGAAATTATTATTTTTAATAACATTTATTATTTTCTCGAAACTTTAAGATGTTTTCAATCATTGTGTTTAACCCGGATCTCCCAAACCTCGTTAATCGAGACGCTATTAAGTAAATAATTAAACAATTTTTTTTATAAATTATGATTTTTATTTTATTAACAATCGTTTTAATATTGTCATTAATAGGGTCCAGCAACACATTTACATGTATCTACTTAAGCGCTATTTACTAATCAAACATCAGTCGGAATATGAGGCGGTTTCGAGATTTTTGAAACTAATGAATATAATAATTGATTTGAGTATTGCGAGACAGTATGCCCGGGGTATATGCAATAAAGTTAAAGGGGAAGCCTACATGAATAACATACTGGTAAATTCACCTCTTTTACAAGAAGTACTGGATATCAATAACTCAATGGAAACTCTGACTATTTGTTAAATATATCTAAATCATAAAAGCCATGTAACAGTGAGATTACTTGCATATTATACCCATATAATCCTTATATCGATCACCAGTTTCTAGGTTGACATCCAATCAAATGACATTATAATTATGAATTTGTTAAAGAGTTATAAATATACATGTTATTATACGCTTATCGCAAAATTGATAACTTTAATATTATCTAATAGTTGTATTATATGTTTTCGTCTATAAAATTATTATTTAGCTTATTTATACTAAATTTAATGTAATATTAAATGTATTTTTTCATTCAGATTTTACTGATATAAAGTACATAAAAGTTATTATTATTTTGATAATTCGCACTGTATAACGAAACATTTAATTTTTATATCAATTTCATTTATTTATCCACATGTTATTCATTTAAAATATAAATAATAAACCACCGTTATTTACACAACTAGTATACATGAACTTTTTATATAAAATTAGTGGAGTTAGTGCACATATCAGTTAATTAATTTTAATAATGATAAGTTATCATTGATAACAAATAATACTATACTGTATGGAAAGTGAGTTATATAACTGGTATTTTATAAATATCGAAAATAATGAAGGTATTATTAGACTTAATCTTAAAGTATAAAAAGTACATATGAGTTAACAAAATAAGATCATTTTTCAAACTTCATATGCTCTCAAATCAAACCAATGAATCAAAGTCTAACTTTAACAGATGTACTTTTAATTTGTGTTTGCTAATTATTATTTATATATTAAAAGTACATCTGATAAACACAGTTAATACAAAATTGGGTGCACTTTCACGCAAACCATAACGCGATCTATAATACAGTGAATACCCCTTTATAGTGAACATTAGGAACTTAACGGGAAAAGTATTGTGTAATATGTGGTGAATCCTGGCTATAATCAGCGGGATACCAGACCTATCATTAAAAAGTCAATTGCCGTTCCTGTTCCCTATCCTAGTGGGAAAGTTTGAGCAAGTTATATTCACAAGTATTTCCACTGCCAATAATCACCATTAGCAACCAAATTTTTTTTATCATTATTTGTGAATGAAATATTCACATTTTCTAGTGTTTAAACTAGTAACATTAATGAATCAATATTCATTATATTTATATGGTCTGTTTCATTCATTATATAATATGGTTAATAATAAATATATTATAGTGTATGTAAAATTGTATTATTTTAGTGCACCAGGAGCTTTCATATGGCATTGAATAGACTACATGTCCTTTAATATAAACGATTACGAAATATCACATAATATATAAGCCTTGAGAAGAACTGTCTATTTATTCTCAATCACTTTGACACGAGTTTTGCAAAAAATATTTTCAAAACAAGTTTTCAAACAATTTTTGTGCAATTGTTATACCAATCAAATATAAGAAACAATTTTTTGAGTTCACATTTTCAGCCAATTTTCGTGTCTATTGTGCCAGAGATTCATAAGAGAGTTATTTTTTGAAAATTACTTTTAAAATTACTTTTTTAATAGTAATTTTATATAACAGTAATATTATTGCATATCATTTGGTATAAAGTACTTTAAACTCTATTTTAGATGTGTTCCCAAAATGAAATATAATGTGTTTTTATATAACAACAACTCAAACGTAAAGTTATATTTCTTTTGCTAACAAGTCATCGATTTTTTCATACAATTCTTGCCGATGTGTCAAACCTTTGACGAGATTTTTATTTTACGGATTAGTTGTGTATTGATTGTGAAAATACAATGAGTGTCACAAAAGTTAGCCAGATGTGTATGGTATGTGGAGACAGTGCTACAGGTAATTATTCATATTTATTAGTGAATTTATTAATGTAATATGTCTATTACGCAATAATTTAAATTTAAAGTAAATTATCATACTATATTATCTATTATCTGTATGATCTATTTTAATTAGCATAGTAAATTGTTTATTTGATCTAAATTCAATGAATTTATGCCTAATGTTCATTACATATTAATTACAGAAACATATTAATTGAACTAAAATTTATTTAGATTTACTCTTAGATTTTTATTTATTAACAGGCAACCATTTATTTTTTAAGTTACACTAAACCAGACTTAACATATTTCTAGGCAAACATTTTGGTGCAATAACATGTCAGCCATGCAAAGCCTTTTTCCGACGGAATGCCCCATTGAATAACGTAATTAAAAAATGCATAAAACTTAAATTTTTAAATAAAAACTAATTATGATTGATAATGTATTCACTAATTTTGCAACATTTTTTTCAAAATACAGTTTGAATGCTATTTCGACTCAAAATGCGATATGAGTTCAGTTACGCGAAAATTCTGCAAAAAGTGTCGTTTAGACAAATGCTTTGCTATCGGCATGAAAAGGGTATCCAACTATTGCTTATTAAAAAATATCTACCAGTATAATTACCTATTATAAAATAATTTTAAAATGCTCTAGGAGAATATATACGATGAGCAACAAAAACAAGTGCGAAAAATGAAAATAGAAGTGAATAGGAAGTTGAGAGAGAAATATAAGGACAAAAACATTATCAATACATTGCTATACTTAAGCAAAACGTCGGACTCCACGCCAAATAATATACTCATGCGAATCGGTTCGCCCCATACGGACAGCCAGTCCTCCACCAGTGATATACCGAGCATTTCAGATACAAATCGTTCAGACATTTCAGATATGAATCAATTATTATGCGGTGAGCTATTGAATGATAGCCAAGATTTGGTTGATTTACCAGAAAATATGGATATTATTAATAAATTCCGGGAAAAAGCCATTGAATACGACACCTCTTTGGATGTGCTCATCGACAGACACATCAGTGATAATGAATTGAATGAACTGGAGGTGAATATACTGCGCGACTTATACACGGCTACGTACGTCATGAGACACCCCCAGCCCAAGGTGTTCAAGGAAATCACAAACATCGACGACTTGACAAAGACTATGAATTTGAAGTTTGAGAAAGAGATCCGCAATTTGATCCAAATGTGCAAAAAGTTGAACACATTTCGCGAGGTCTGCGAGAACGACAAGATTGCACTTCTCAAGTACCGGTGCTTTGAGGCCATTCTCCTGCGAACGGTCACTATATTTGACTTTCAGTCCAAAGATTTTATGTTTTATGGCGTAAATATACCACATATTTATCAGTTGCCTAAATGTTATGCTAGTATTTATGTTGCATTTTGTACTAACCAGGATGAAAACACGACAATTACATTCAAAATAGATTTGATAAAACAAACTAAGCGAGGACTGTATGCCAATCTCATTGAATACTTGCTATTTATTGGTCAGGAATGGGATTCAGATCCTATTATACTGGAAGCGGTATATTAACTAGCTCATGTCTTACATCAAATATATAAGATCGGTATTAATTTTTATTAATCTATTAGCTAATGGCTATAACCCTGTTCAATCCCAACTGTCCAAACCTCACCCATAGGGAAGTTATTAAGTGAGAGAGAAAAATGACCGCACTCAATATTACCACGTTATTAATTACATTCACTCTGAAATCTTTATTTAATAGATACCAGCAACAACTTTATATGCGTTTACTGCAGAGGTATTTAAAACACAGATATCAGTGGGAGTGTGAGACCAAGTTTACAAAACTCATGAATACCGTCACCTTTGCCAACATTATGGGCCAAAAACAACGGCTGAACACATCGGAAAGGGGTCTCAAGGAGTGCGGGCTACTCATCGCTGAGATCCTGGATCTCAAGCCTTAAATACATCACTAATCGCTAGATAATTAGATATTTGATAATACATCACATGTAAAATTCAAACCCATTTAATAAATTGTTTTAAATAAACTTAATTTATTTTATACAAAGTTGTGTTCAATCAATAGGTTTAATACCAAGGCACTGAATTTAGTGGTAGTGGTGACACCATATTCGTAACATAATGTAATTTTTAAATACATTATATTCAGTGAACTATTTCTTATAACTTATAACATAAACTATAATTAAATTAAAAGACAAAACTAGTTAAAACTTTTGGGTTAAAACTTATTTAGTATACAATACCTGCCAATAGGTGTCAGCGAATGCAATGAAATGCATTAAAATTGATTGCATCAATGGTTTATTACTGTATTGTTTGGCTTTTCGCACATAACTGTCAAACTAGAACTCATTTCAAACTAATTGACCTTGCTACATTTTAACTACCGCTATTAAATCAATTTGAACGGTAAAATATAAAACTTTTTTGTTGCATGCATGAATATATTACATTACACTATGATACAACAATTTGTCTAATTGCTAACTAATTATTAGACTAGTATAGCACTGGTGTCTAATCAACACTACTGGTGATTGGCCCTTACGTTAACAGTGTTTTCTATACTAGTTAGCAATGATCAATGACCATGATTACATTTATAATTAACAGTAAATCTGTTATAGTTATAGTGAATCGGTTTTGTATTGATTTTAATGTTTAAATATTTGCGTTTATTTTAGTCCACAAAGTGTTCAATTGATTGTCAAATAATGTCTGAGAGAAGAAGTCTTAGAAGTGATGCCAAACGGCGGCGACTGTCGGACACCAGCGATGCCATCAAGAGTGAAGACATTCACGACATTAAGCCTATCGTTAAAAGTGAAGTGAAATCTGAGATTAAATATGATATCAAAAGTGAAGTAAAGCCTAAACTCGAGATCAAGACTGAGATAACGAGTGACACGACTGTCCCCGAAGTACACCGCAAAGACTCGATGGACCGCTTCAGCCCTAAGTTATGTCAACGCATACTGTCATACATATCATTTGAGGACCGGTTCCGCTATGAATGTGTGTCCAAACGGTGGCAGTCGTTGATATACACCACGCAGACAGTGCTGGTGTTCAGCGACACAACCATCGCCTACCGACTGAATCCCAAGTCATTTGAGACGATACTGAAACAGGAATCAGTTGAAGTCCATCGAAGTCCGTGTAGACAAGCGGTGCGACGAGCCAGCCATCAATACCCTGATGACTAGTCTGTCAAAACTGGAGGCATTGGTTGAGTTCAAACTGGACATGTCGTGGAGTACGGACCCCATGATTAGGCCTATAGTATGCGGTTTACCGCCGATTGGCACCAACTGTCGGGCGCTGAAGAGTCTCGCCGTCGACTTCTACACAAACACCGGCCGACACGGGAAGCACTTGTTTGACGCAATCAACAAATACTTCCAACACATCCGGCGACTGGACATCAAGTACTCCACACATCCGAGCACTTCCGTGAAGGACGAGTTGATCACAATTAAGGGCTTAACTCACTATACACTCCATGCGTATGACGACTGCTTCATCAACGAGGTGTTTATGGCGAACATATCGCGACAGTTACCGCGCCTCCAGTTCCTGAGCACCGGGGTCTACGCGTTGAGCGAGCACTCGTTGGATGAGTTGATGAAACTGAAGCACTTGCGGACGCTTAGACTGGAGGCCGGGTTCTACCACTTTAGTGAACTCAAGCTCATGAATCTGCGCGAGTGTCCCAATATGAGCGCCTGTATGGTCACCAGGCGTACCGATATCGACACTATAGTCGGCTAGCAAAACCAATACCTCCCCGGCCACCCGTACTTCATGCCAGCCAACTGCACATAAAGTCTGAATTACATAAACCATGATAACCCAGGTCATGATTGACTTTATATTGTATTTAATAATAATTTTTAATGCTTTTCATCGGTTTAATGGTACAGTAAATGAGTAAATATACTAAAAATTTATGATATATTTTATGTCAAAATCAATACAAAATAAGTATTGAAATAAAATACAATGAATTGAATGAAAACTGAATTCAAAAATCACTTCTTCTTTGCCCACAATTTCTTGGGAATGTCTTTCGTGTCTAACCCTCTAATAGACAGCAAACGGTTGGCCCTTTCGGTCAGAGTTCCGCCGCATTTCAGGCCCAACGCCGTCAACGCGTGCTTCAGTCGATCCAAACCAAGACTTTCCAACTGATCCACACTCTCGTACGCCATTAGATCCAACGGCTCGTAAACCACAGCCTCTTTAGGCGCCTCCGAAGAGGTCGACGCTATCGGTTCGGCCACTGAATCACTGGTTGTCACCTCGGGTTCAGTCGGCGCTGAAGACATCACTGTTTCCACCACTTCATCGCTAGTCTTATCGTCACTTAATTGAGTCGAGAAATCGGTGGTCGACTCCTCGCTCGCATTCTTCGCGTCCGACTCATTGTCGCCACTCTTCAGCTCATCCGTTGTCAGTCTTGAGGACTCATTGGACTCTTCGGTGGCGGACGACACGCTCGATGACGGCATCGGTTCCCTAGTAATGGTCTCATTATCATCAGCGCCGACATCACTATCACTGCTGACATCGACGTCATCGACTCCGACCCACAGCGAGAGCTTCTTCTTCTTCTTGGACTTCGCCCTCAAGTTATCAGTTTTACGCTTCTGTGTCACCGCTCGTTGAGTACCACTACTTCCCGCGCCATCGCCACCACTACTACCGGCGCTCTGGAGCTCCCGTTGTCTGAGCCCATACTGGAGCGCCTCGTCCACGATGTCCGGTATCTCACTCCTGAGGCGCTCGAACTCCAGATCATTGAACTCAGCCTTGGGTTTGGCCGCCATTTTCGCCAACTTCTGGCGCCTCCGCTCCTCCATCTCCTCCTTCCTCTGCGCCTCCTTTTTGATCCACTCTTTGATGCGCTTCTCTTCGTTGATGTCTCGCAACCGGCGACCCGTGAGGTCACGACACGCCTCCCGGTTAGTGGTCTTCTCGATCTGAGCGCCGATAGCCCTCAACATCGACCCGAACCCACCCTTCCCTCCCATCAGATCCATGTGCACAGCGATGACCGACCCGTCCATTAGCTGCGAAGTGTCTGTCAATCGACGCCCATTTGAGTAGAGTTTGAACTCGTGGTCCGGAATCGACTGGTGATTATCATGTGCGGGGTATAAGACATTAGTGACCATCGATGCAGTGGTGGTTATTATCATACAAATGGTGATAATGAGTGCTTACCTCCAGATGTGATACGCGTTGAGCTAATTGGTGGACACCTTGGCTGCCATCCATCTGCAGACACACTGTTCGTCCACTCAGTGGTGACTTATAGAAGATATTCAAAGACATGGTGTTTGTGGTGATCGTGAGGACTGTTTGGGTGGCAGTACTGGTGCGACAAATGGGTGAATGTGTGGTCTGTTTGGCAATAAGTGTCGTATTGTTTACGCCATTAGTGTTGACAGCAATACTACTGCCTGTGAGAGCCCTCTCTGTGCGCGCAGTCGTACTAACGGTTTAAAAGTATCGGCGCTTACAATCAGATCAAATGACTATCTATCATGTGATCTATGACCGGGTTATGGTTATCATGGTTTATGTAATTAAGACTTTATGTCAAGTTATTAGTGTATGAAAAAGGACCGAATCGTCGGCTAAGCATTCACTTGAATATCGCCACACATTTGACGCAAAAGCAAGAGACTTGTCATTATTTGGTGCCAATTGTGGTGACAATCAGTAGTCGTGTCGGCAATGGATGACAGCGTAGTCATCGTCAGTCACTTGTGTGGCAGATGTGGTCAACAAATGGATGTCTTGTCCGACTGTGAGCGATGTGATTACGTGGAAGAGATGCCATGCGGTGGTCGACCATCGGATCAATTGGTAAGACAATCGCCTCAAGCGGTGGACAACTCGGCCCAAGACGTGGCCAACGAGTCGATCGCCATTTGCTGCATATGTTTGGATGCGTTGACGTCCGGGGCGGCCGACCATCACGTGCTTCACTGCTGTCATCGTTTCCACAAGAAGTGTATCACCGAATGGTTCTCGAAGTCCACGTCGTGTCCGATGTGTCGACAGACGGTCCCTCCAGAGGCGCGCAGACGTCGACCTCATCTCAGTTTGCGACCAATTCATCGCTTAAGACT